CAATCTCCCTTCTTCTCAATTGGCATGCCAAAAGCAGTTCATCTTAACATCAATTGAGAGCTCCCTGGACTTAGATCTGTTACCTATCAGTTCAATTTAGGAAACTGGATTTGGAATTCTGAAAAAGTACTGTTCAATAATAAAGCTTGTAAAAGCAAGGTATAATTAGAGATTTTAAATGTGTAGCACTCTGGGAACAAATAAGCCTCATAAAAGGTTAGGTAACCTGTGCACAATTGGCACATTTCTAGGAAAACAAACTTGAAAGTTGGAAATACTTCATAATATGCTAAATGTTAAATTGGCTCTTGCTTGGGCCAAGAACTGTATATAAAAAAGGAGGGCTATTTTCAAGTGGCGTGGGGGTGTTTAGGGGGGACTGGATTGGGAACCTATAGCACTAAATCCTGGTCTAATATGTTGTAACAGCTTTTTCTCAAAGACTGAATGCTGCTTTCTATGGCCCTTCTGTATTGAAGACTATACAGTCATAACGATTAAAGATGGGTGAAAACACTAGAGTAACTGCCTCTAGTCACAACATGTGCTGTCTGAGGTTAATCTACTACTCATATTCTATAAAAGTAGACACTTTCAAAAAGTCGGTTTTATTGTCATAAAATACACATCACATGAAACTTACCATTTTAAAGCAGTTATGGCCATTAGTAATCCCTAGAGATAACTGAAGGCACCCTTGGGTTGGTAAATAAGTATTCTAAATGACCATTTTTAATGAGGGTCAGGCACTCTACAGAATGTACTGGATTGTCCTACAATACTACGTCACTTTACCAGAGTAAGGAGGATAGGCATCAACAGGGAAGGCTTTTCGAAAAAGCTGTCCTTGCCTGTTACAAGTGTGCCTTTCCCCAAAACACAGAGCAACAAAAACATGTCGAGAACCAATGCTTTGAGAGTTATCTACAGTTTAATGTAAAAATAAACCAGAGCAAGATGCACTCAGGAGGGAGATAATGCCTCAGGTTACTGAGTGCCTTGGGAAATCTACATTCAAGGATAGAAAGAGAAGGGCAGGAAAGAGGGTTCTATTGCTTCTGTTTAAGAAGCTGATTTCCCTTAAGTGCTCATTTTCAGCAACTGGTACTATAGTAACACAACTTTAGAGACTGGTGCCATGGGATCTTACTGGTGATTAAGCTACTTGCCTCATAGCCCCACTAATCATAACTCCCTTTCATTTCTTTCAATAAAAAAACCCCGACTTTTCCAATGTATGAGAGGAACCAGAAACTGTTCCCCAAAGACACAACTGTGTTACTGAATGCAGCACCAAGAAGAGCAAAGTAAAGCAACTTCACCATTCAGCAACTGGTAATGCAAGTATTAAGATGTTCAGGTCCTCTTAAAATAAAATAACTTACTTCGAATTATCTTGCACCTATTTCTGCAAAAAACGTTCATTTCTATCTAACCTCATTTCAGAGGGAAACATTTTTAAATGTCCCTGAATTTTGGCATGTAAATCTTCATCAGTTACTTTTAAAATGCACCGAAAAATTTCACTTCATGACTACTTCTCTAATCAAATAACCCCATTTACAGCGCAGACGAGGAAAATGTTATCTAATCTTTAAAAAATTTAAAGTAGCAATCTGTTCTCAAGTTATCACAGGAAGATAATTTTACCTAACTTAACACCTTTACAGTAATTTATATGCAAAATAATACAACCATCACTGATTTTACTAAACCTGGACAAGCTAAGAGTCTCAGAAGCATACGGACACTGTACCCTAAAACCAATTTTTTCAAGGAGTATCACCATTCACCTTACACAACGGTCTGATGACTTTACAATTCAATCAGGTTATCCCACCACCGAAATCACCTGAAATACAACCTTCAGCTAACAGATGTCTCCAGATAATTCGTGCACACGATCGTTCACGCGGGCCAGGGCGCAGACCCGAGCCGAGGAGCAGGGGGAGGGGAGGAGGTGTGCCTCCCAGCACGCGGGGCGAGAGCTCCGACGGCCGCAGACCGCAGGCTCCTTTCGACTCCCGCGGACGCAGCTCGGCGCCGACGACCCTTGGCATTTAAGGAGGTTAACCCGGCCCACCGATCCGCCGCATTTCGCACGGTTTCGCTGCCGGAGCCTGTAACCCTCCCCTGGGTCAGAGCCGGAGCGAGAAGACCTCTAGGGCCCGCAGTCACACAGCGCTCGCGCCCCGGCGGCCCCACGGTTCTCCCCAGAGGCACCGGGACTCGGGCAGCCCGCGTGTCCCCACGAGGGCCTCGTCTCCTCACCAACACCCAAGCTGGCCAGCAGCGAAAGGCCCGGGCCTTCCCCACAGGCAACCAGAGGTGGGCCCGAATCTCCCTCGCAACCGCAGGCACAAATCCTTACTCGGCCAGGGGCAGCGCCTCCAGGAGGCCGCCCCGGGTTGAAACTTACGCTGCCGAACGGAGCGCCGCGGGCGCCTCCGGGCCCGCTTC